GAGTTTTATAATCTAGTTTCCTAACATGTTAAAAAAAAATCCCGGGCCCGGCGTGGTGGCGCAGTGGTTACACCCGGGATCCCATATAGGCGCTGGTTCTAATCCCGGCAGCCCTGCTTCCCATCCAGCTCCCTGCCTGTAGCCTAGGAAAGCAGTCGAGGATGGCCCAAAGCTTTGGAACCCTGCACCCACGTGGGAGACCCGGAAGAGGCTCCTGGTTTCGGATCAGCATAGCATCAGCTGTTGCGCTCACTTGGGAAGTGAATCATCGGACGGAAGATCTTCCTCTCTGTCTTTCCTCTCTGAATATCTGCCTTTCCAATAAAAATTAAAAAAAATAAATCTTTAAAAAAAAAATCCCAGGAGGTGGGCATTGTGGAACTATGTGTGAAGTTGTTACTTGGTATGCCAACGTTTCTGCTAATGCCCTGAGAAGTAGTAAATGGTGCCCCAAATGCTTAGCTCCTTGTTACCCACATGGGAGACCCAGATAGAATTCCTGGCTCCTGGATTCAGCCTGGCCCAGATCTGATGTTATGGTCATTTGGGGGAAGAAGGTGGCCCAGTAGATGGAAGACCTCTCCATATCATCCCTTTTGAAACAAACAAACCCAAAATGACTAAAATTCAATGTTAAAGTATCCGTATTCTTGAAAATTATCTTCTATAACACGACTGACACTGAATTTAGGGGAATAATGAATGGGGTTTTCCCACAGTTGGAGCTGAACTTGGAATCATGTGACTAACATGGGTTCAGAAGTGTGGATTAGGAGGGAGCTGTGAAAAGGTCAAGGAGTAATGGAATTGAAATATACCATGATTTTTCTATAAACTGTTAGAAGCCCAGGTTTGTAGAAATATCTGTTGGTGTACCCAAATGTGTCAGGTTCCTCTCTCTGCCTGCTCTCTGCTACTCTATTCTGATCATGTGCACCTGAAAATTAGGAATTTTTGTTGTTGTTATTCTTTCTCTGTCTTTTTTGTTCTTGGCTCCCCTTTTAAGTTCCCATTTCTGCCTGGTTGTTATCTGAGGCACCAGACTCTGGCTGACAGTGCCTGTGTGTGTAAGGGCTCCTTGCCTTGGATTACTTGGGCATTTTTGGCCGTGTTCTTTATGGGTTTTGTTTTAATGGATCTAGTTTGACAGTGAACTTGCACAGAAGGGCTCGAGCGGCTCTGGGAAGACCATGATCTGGAAGAACTTTGTGTGTCCAGGCAGGCATGAGACCATTTTAAAAAGCCAATCTTCTGAGAAAAGAATCAGTGAAAATCTTCAAACGTAATGAGTCTGCCTAAAGCTCTCATAAACATTTTAGATGTGAAATGTGAAAAATGCGGGCCACCCTTGCTGGTCCTCTCATTATCAGCTGAGCCATGTGAAAGTCCAAGGCTGTGAGAGGAATGACATCCCAAACACTCTTAAATATGATCTCGTCCTTCCCACATGCTCCCTTGGAGACCTGGGCAGGGGCTGAGCTGGATAAGCAAGCACAAGGTCAAAGACACGAAGGAAATCTACTTGTCTAAAACTCAGGGTTCTGCCTTTGGTTTGGGATACTGCTCAGTGTGCTTAAATTTGAATCCCCTCTCTTTTTTCTTTAGAGCTGAGAATAATATGTATAGTTTGATACAAAATATAAACAGCTTAGACCTAAGGAAGCAATGAGAGGACCTATGAGTGTGGTCCACCCTTACCAAGATAGTGTCTGAATGAGATGGGCATTTGTAAAAAGCTGTATTTATTTATTTGAAATTCACAGGTGGAGAGAAAGAGAGAGAGAGAGAGAGAGAGAGAGAGAGAGAGAGAGAGAGAGAGATATTCCATCTGCTGTTTCTTTCCCTAGAATGGCTACAATGATTCAGGCAAAGCCCTGTTGAATCAAGAAACCAGAACACCATTCTGGTCTCCCCATATGGGTGGCAGGCGCTCAAGCACTGGGAGCCATCTTGTACTGTTTCCCCAGGATCATTAATGGGGAGCTGAATCAGAAGACAAAAAGACAGCATGCCAATCAGCACTCAGAAGGAATGCTGTAGTCACAGGTGGAAGTTTCAGCACTGCCCCACACCTCCATGCTATTACTCCTATGGTTATTAAACTCACAAGAATTCTTTGATAAAAATATCAGTCGGATGTTAGTTTCCTGGTGAATGGGATGGATTTGGGGCCAGGAGAGTGTCATGTCTACTCCTGGTTGTCTTCGGACTGATTCAGCCTCTCATTCACCCTGTGAGCAACAGAGGATCACAGCGTCTGCTGAAGCCCTCAGAGGCAGGGACCTGCGGAGAGCCCAGTGCTTCTGAGTTCTTCTTCCTCTGGAAATAATGAATTCCTGCTGATCAAAATTGCCAAGTCTCAAACCAAAGGGGCACAGCCCAAGGAGATCAGGGCTGAGGGGTGGATATGTTGGACAGGTGAGTCTGAAACTAAGCTGTTGTGTGGGAGCTCTTGCGCTGAGCCACCCCTGAGGGACAGCAGACAGCACTAAGCCTGCGGTCTTGATTCCCCATTCCAGGCATAGACTGGCATGTACCTGAATTTGCAAACCAAATACTTTGGTTGCTGGACACGAGAACAAGAGCTATTCACACTTCATCAGCACGCAAATGGCATAAGCCTAAAACATAGCTGTTGAGGGCCTAAATTATTGTTAGGGGAAAACATTAGCGAAGAAAAGCGTGGAAAGGAATTCCCTGAGTCTAAGGAATTATAGCACGAAAAACAAATACTTTTAAATAATTAAAAACAAAATAAAACCTAAAGCAAGCTAAAATGTAATGTCTAAGTTTTTTATACTTACTTGTTTTCATCAACTTCTAAGGCAAAGATAAGTAGAACAAGAGAGAGAGAAAGAGAGAGAGTATGTGTTCTTTCATCCATTGGTTCACTCCCCAGATGCTACACCTCCAGACTTGAGACAGCCAGGAGCCTGGAACTCTATTTAGATCTCTTCCATGAGTGGCAAAGACCCCAGTGGTGAGGTCATCACCTAACAGTATGCATGGACAGGAATTCAAATTGAAGGTGGAGAAGGTGGGGCTAGATCCCAGGCACCATGATTTGGGATGCGAGTGTGGATCTGAGCCCAAATGCCTGCCCCTCACAGTGCATTTCTAGAAGATAAGAGTGGTCAGGTCAGTGATTTAAGTGATACAGGATGTGTTTACTATCATAGCACAGCCAAACCAGCACTTCAGAGTGGGAATAACAGGGGCAGGAGTTTGGTTGATGAGACCCACCCAAAAATGAACAAAGAGGATACTTCAAAGGAAAGCAAGCCCAAACTTCCCTGTTTACTAGTCTGTATTTCTTCTTCTTCTTCTTCTTCTTTTTTGTTTAAATTTATTTTTTATTTTTATTGAAAAGTCAGATATACAGAGAGAGGGAGAGGGAGAGGAAAATCCTCCATTAATTGGTTCATTCTGCAAGTGACCACCACAGTCAGAGCTGAGCTGTTCAAAGCCAGGAACATAAAGATTCTTCCACATGGGTGCAAATTCTGAAGGCTTTGGGCCATCCTTGACTGGTTTCCCAGGCCACAAGCAGGAGCTGGAAGGGAAGTGAAGCAGTCGGGATTGGAACTGGGGCATGCAAGGCAAGGATTTATCCACTAGGCTATCAGGTGGGGCCCTCGTCTGCATTTCTACCTTGTACAAGACATCTTCAGAATTCCAGCACAGCTACCTTTTACCTCCACAATTTATAAGGCAAAGAGAAGATGGCTTTATTCCAAAGTGATTTGTTCATTTATAATTCAATTCAAAGCTCTACTTAAGTAAATATACTAATAAATAATTGCAGAGTTCTTAATCTTGGAGCTCTACCTTCAGCTCATTTAATTTCTCCACTTAATTTAGTTCTATATACAATGATGATTCATGTATGGGGGAAAAGGATGTTGCTTGATTGATTAATTTTTCATCCCCACCCATTCTGTCCACAGGATGCTTGGCATTACCTTGCAGAATGAGTTGGTCTTGGTCTTCTCCATCCACCAGATCTCTGGATCTGTGGGTGAGGAGTACAGGCCAAACTCTGTGATTTAAATGAGGGAAGGTATCACAATGAAAAATGTGCTGGAAATCAGGTTTCCATTAGTGGCTTTGCCACTGTGACTCGAAGCAAGTTATCTAACCTTATTTAACCTCTGTTCCAAACACCAGAAATATGGAATCAGCTCTGGTCTTATTTCAAGCATCAAATCAGAGCCAGTGGTGGTGGGCTGGAGAGCGTGTAGACAGTGTCCAAGCCTATAAGCAGGTAGAGTGAGAATGAAGAGATTAAGCCTCATTCTAATTGATTAGTGACATCTGTCCTAGACAGAATGTGGCATACCAACCTTACATGTGACCTAGGAGGTTTGTTTACAGTCAGTCAACTCACATACTGTAGCATGAAGTGCTTAGTGTTTAGTTGTAAACTAGAAATCCTGAAGTTTTCATTGGATGGGCTCTGCCCTGAGGAGGTCTTTATGGGAGGCAGAAATAGCACTCAAGTCTTCATAACCACTGGAGAAAGTTTGCCATATAATTATTATTTTGAATTCCATGCTTTGGGATTTATGATGAGTGCTCAAATGCACAAATGTGTCGTCTTTCATTTGCTGGTTTAACAGATTTTCCCAGCTCCTAGGAGCCTCAGAAATTTGAAGGAGACTTGGACTGTAGTTTATTTATCCTTGAACATCATTTGCTTGAATTGAAGTACAGTTACCACTCATCACCTCTGGCACCTTACTTTGTATTTGAGGAGAAGCCAGAACTTGGGCGTTCTGGCCTTATCATCTTTTTGACTGGATCTATTCCTAAATTCCAGAAAATTTGAAAGCACAGAATATTGGCTTCTCCCCTGAACAATGAGATGGTTACCTCTTCCCCTTGGCTGTACCCCGAGGATATTCAAAGACTCGTGGAATTTCCAGGAAGTCTGAAGAGGTCCTCTGGTGAGACTCACGCCTGCCATGACCCTCACTCTTATTAGCCCGCTTGTTGCTTACCCTGTTTCGTTGTGAAAGAAGCATTCCAATCTTCTCTGAGACATAAGGATGCCATTTCCATCATTGGGAGTTGCAGAAACACAGAAAAAAAATCATTTTAATGTAGTAAGATGATTTTTACTTTAATTTGCAAAACCAGTTTTCCCACTTTGGGATTTCTCAAAATGTCTCCAGGAACTTGCGCAACAACCAGCATAAATGTGTGTTGTCTAAGTCCTGAGCAGGCTCTGCACGCTTTGGATTTCTTCAGCTTCATTTCCAACATCCACTTGTTCACTTAAAGGCAGAAAAGAACAGAAAGAACAGGAATCACTTGCCACTGCTTCACTACTATAAACAGTCCATGGATTCCAAGAAGCAGATCCACACATGTTTAGGGAGAATACACTTTCAATAGTTCCAATATTTTTCTTGGGATACCGAAAAAAGGAGACACAGAGAGCTTGTACTTGGTGAGTCACTCCCCAAATGCCCACTCTCCAAATCCTAGGTCTTGGTCAGGGTGACGGCTGTGGTTGGGAACTGAATCCAGATCCCACTTGCGAGTGAGAGGGAGCTAATCGCTTGAACCATCACCATTGCCTCCCAGGGTTTAGATTACTAGCCAGCTGAATGCAGGAGCTAGAGCCAGAAATCCTAATGAGGCACTCTGAGGTAGGAGGTAAGCATCTTTATGGCGATGCCAAATACCCATCCCTGACAGTACAGTTGTATTTCACCTGATCCTCTTCTAGACTCCAAATTTTAGCGAACTCTTTTTGTATTATTAAAGTTGGTTGGTTTTTTTTTCTGTATCAATCTGTTCTTTTTCCTTTCTCACCAATTTCCTCATCTTCTGTAACTTGATTTCTAAAGGAGAATAAGAACCCTGATTTGTAGAGTTTGTCAACCTTATGAGGGTAAATAGTTCATCATGGCTATTTTGTATTTATTTGTTGTTTGTTTTGAGAAGAGATAGACAGAGCTCACATTCACTAGCTCACTCCCGAATGCTGGCAGTGGCTGGAGTTGGGCCTGGCTGAAGTTGGGAGCTAGGAACTCAAACAAGGTCTCACATGTAGTTGGCAAGGATCCAAGTACTTAAGTTATTACCTGCTGCCTTCCAGGATATTCGTTAACTAAAAGCTGTCTTTCAGAGTGGAACTGAGATCAGAGCTGAGGTATCGCGTGTAGGGTGTGGGAAGTTTACCAGTGTACATTATGGCTATTTTAAAGCTATGAACATGCCTTCCTCAAACCCAGGATTGAAGAGAGATCTGCAATAGTCACCACTGAATACTAAGTCCATTACACAAAAATAATACGCCTAACTAAACTCAGGAACATAAACTTGTAAACTGCAGTAAATTAGGAAGCAGAAAGATTTGAATATCTGTTATCTTTGTTTTACATAAATGCATAATTTTTAGTGAAAAATTTTAATAACGCTCATGTTTAATAATTGGTCACAGCATTTCTGAAAATTTTGCACTTGCTCTTCTGAGCTGATATGGACTCTTTGTACAATGTCTTTCTACAAGGTATTCAGAAAATAAAGTTTTTAATGCTCTAGGAATGGTTAAGAAACATGTGATTCTAAACTCACACCCTAAGCAAAGGCATTCGGAGATGAAGTTGTGTTCAGTTAATGTGTGGTGCCAGCACAAATCCTGGGCATTCGTCTCTTAACACATAGATCCTATCAATAACAAGAATGAGGTGAAGAGACTTGCCAGAGAGGCCACTCCTGAAGACATCAAAAAGACTCTCTAAAAGTTTGAAAAGAAAACAAACACAAGTAAGCAAGAGGCCAGAAGCGTTTGGAGAGAGACATTTGGACCAAGTTAGTTTAATTTAGATAATGTAAACACAGAGATAGTATTCAGTCTGTCTGGGAAGGCAGTGCTGGAACTATCATTGTTCATTGTGTAAGACATGAAGGAGGCACAGAAGAGGGCCAAAAAGAAATGGAGCCTTGAGGGTTTTATGCATGTAGGTAGATGATGAAAATATAATTTGTATTTACCTTGGCTACAAGTGAATGCAGCAAGACCACCCTAAGTCAGTCTTCAAAGCTCGGCTGCCGGTTGGAAAAACACAAGGTGCCAGAAGGGAATGTGAGTTTTACTATGTCTAGCAATGGAAGGAAAAGAAAGTGAAAAAACCTTTCTTCCCCTTCTCCAGAAATTGCCTGCAATCAGCATGCTTTCTGACTCCACACATCCTGTTGATTCTGTCTTCCCTACTATTACCAAACATTTGCCTGTTAATCTCCTTATCCAGTTCTTGCACAGTCCTCCTCCCTGTTTCCTCTGCAACTTCTGCTGTCCTTGGAATTAATTACAGCTTGTGTTTCAGTACCAGAAAGCTTCCTTTGACCTTAAGTCCTAGTTGGAAGACACCCTGAGTTGAAATGACTTCCTGATTGGTTTGCCTCTCCTAATAGACTTAAACTGACTGAGGATGAAGACATGTCTTTTGTGGGCCATGTGCCTAAAAAATGCTAGTTATGTAAGAGCTGCTCAACAAATGTATTTTATGAATGAATAAAACAAATGGGTCAATGCCCACAGAGAACACACAATGCAAAGGATCCCAGGAAGCTGTGCATTCCTTCATGCACATGGTAGCATTTATATTGCTAAATCATGATATTGCTATTACTGCCATCTCAAAGTCAATGAGCAGAATGAAGTCAAGGACTTGCTTTCACCAAACGTAGCCTCTGTTGCCCTTTTTGATGGTGCCCAGTTATTCTTTGGTCAGCCACGTTATTGTCCATCTTCCTTAATTGCATTCTGGGACTCCTTGATTAGCATACCAAATACAGTGGTACATGTGTCAGTGGAATGAAATGAGGGAGAAGGGCATTGGCTCCCAATACAGGGGACAAGCCACCTTTGAGCACCTGTGTTACCTCTCTCCTCCCTTTACCTCCATTTGAATAATTAATTGCATGTCATGTGTATTGCACCTCAGCTCTCTGCAAACGGCTGCTACCTACACCCTCATGGAAACAAAATGGAGTAAGAAAAAAATTACAGGCTAGACAGGTCTCTAGCGATAGCCTAAATTATTATCTTTGCAGAAAGCAAAAGGTTGACATAGGCCTTTTATACACCTCCAGAGACATGAAATTCAGGTTCTAAATTAGAGGTGGAATTCCATTGTGGCTTGATAATTTATTCTCAGGTGTGTGGGAGATGTCCGAAAGTCAAATACCTTTAGCACCTGTGGATGAGCTGTTTAAGTGGAAGGGTTTGTCACCTGCGTGATTTTTTTTTTAAGATTTATTTTTATTATTTTTTTATTGGAAAGGCAGATATACAGAGAGGAGAGACAGAGAGGAAGATCTTCCATCCGATGATTCATTCCCCAAGTGAGCGCAACAGCCAATGCTATGCCGATCCGAAGCCAGGAGCCTCTTCTGGGTCTCCCACGCTGGTGCAGGGTCCCAAAGCTTTGGGCCATCCTCGACTGCCTTCCCGGGCCACAGACAGGGAGCTGGAAGGGAAGCGGGGCTGCCGGGATTAGAACCGGTGCCCATATGGGGTCCCGGGTATACAAGGCAAGGACCTTAACCACTGCGCCACCACACTGGGCCCTGTCACATGCGTGATTTTAAACAAGCAGCTATGTTTTGCTCTCTGATTTCAGATGTTCACTTCCTTCAGTCTATGAGACTGAGTTCTTTTTGCTGTTCTTGCAAAGATATTTATGTCTATCCATTGACAGTCTGTCAAGAGTGAGACACCAACATGGGGGCTGTTCCATGGCCTAGGTGAAATATTCGGATACGATCAGTGCACACTCAAGTTACACCTTCAAAGGCCTCCAGGACAATCTGAACAAGACTTTAATATCATAGATTTTATCTCCTCAACCCTAGGAAATAGTCTTATTCAAAGCTTTATTGCTCTTTGTTTCTTCTTTCTTTGTGAAATTTAATAGCAAATGTTATAATAAATCATAGTTTAGTTTCCCAAAGGTATTTACATCTAACTTTTCAAAAATTAACTCTACTTCTGATCTTGCTGAATGTTGAACTTTTTCTGTTAATCCTTTTACTTCACTGAGAAGTTCAAAAGCATCTACTCATGCTGTTAGATGTTGTATCCACTTAAAACTCAGGAATATTAGTTCAAAATATCTTGTCTACATGATTGTCAGTTAAAAAAAACCCTTACATTAGTCATTTTGTTTATTTTTAATAAGATTAATATGTCTGACGGGCCAAGTGGCAGAAAAAATGTCTTTGAGAAGGCACCAAAATTTTTTATTCTTAGTTTCATAAAACAGAGATCATCTGTCCACTGGTTCGCTCCCCAGTGACCTCAGCAGATGGGGCCCAAAATAGAAGCCAGGAACTCCCTCCTGGTCTCTTACACTGGAGGCAGCACCCAAATAAATCTACTGCTTTCCCAGGCTCAATAGTAGGAAATAAATTGGAAGTGGAACAGCCAGAACTTGAACAGACACTACAGTAAATGCCACAGCTTAATGCACTGTGCCATAATGCTGGCCTCAGTAATTATTTCAATACAATCTTTAAAATTGTGAATCATTCTTCCTGCATCTCATCTATAGAGTCTGCTTAGAATGTAATCCTTGGGCCTTATACTAGATATCAGATATCTGCAGGTGGGAATCCCAGGAATCTGCATATTTAACAAGTGCCTGCTTGACTTTGATACACATTGTAGACTACGTTTAAAACATTGCAAGATAAAATTTCTGAATTCTCTTCTTTTTTCTCTAAACACAGGGAACCACAGCTTTGCCCATTTTGTCTGTGAGCTGATGAACTATAAAATGGGACAAACATGTAGGTAGATGTGATGACAGAACCTGAACCATAGAAGAAGTTTGGGATATCTGTAAAAATTGGCAGCCTTATGAATCAATAGTAGGAGTGAAAATTGGACATTATGGTCTGTTACAGGGTAGTCAGATTTAATCACTATAGGTGGAACTGAACACTAAGTTTTCTAGGCCCCAGATAATAAACACATTTCTTTTTGGGATGTCTGCAGTTTAGGTTACATGATCAAGTTTTCTTAGGCTCATTCATCCATTTATCTATTCGTGTTT